CTGGAGAGAAGAAAAAGAAGCTAAAAATGATAGAGTATTCCTAAGTTGACAGCGTGTTCAGTGGAGATGTCTAGGAAATGGACAGGCATGTGATGTGGACCCCAGGGAGGCCTCTGGGACAAAGCTTTTGAGTGAAGCCAGAGGAATGTGTGGAAGATCAAGAGAAAAACCAAGATCAGTAAGGAATTCAAGAAAACATTCACAAAACACAAGCAGAAGATAAACTATTCAGAGATAAAACCTGGAGCAGCCAAAGAGAGAGACAAAGAACCAGGAGGCTGTGGGCAAAAGAAGAAACTATTTCAAAGAGGAAAAAGGGCTGGTGCCAGGTATGAGCCTAACCACGTATAGGCAGGACTGAGGTGCTGCCCTTCGTTTCAAAAGCATCATTTACAATTTTGATTTTATGCCCAAATTATAATGATCTTTCATATATAAGTTAAAAATGATTATACATCATTAAAAATACATTTGCTGTTTAATACTAGTAAGATTTTGTTCATGTTTTTAGGTTGTAATATTCAATTTAACTTTGAATATAATTTTCATATGTCATTACTCTCAAAACCAGTCTTTTGTCAAGGTTTACGTCTCGAGAGAAGTTAAAAAGAAAAGCAGATTCAATCCCATGTGTAAACAAAGTGTAATCAAAGCAGTAATTAAAAAGAGTAGAACCAGGAGCTGGAGAGATGGCCCAGTGGTTAAGAGCACTGGCTACCCTTGCAGAGAACCCAGGTTTGGTTCCCAGCACCCACATGGTGGTTAACAACTGTCTGTAACTCCAGTTCCAGGAGTTCTGATGCCCCATTCTGGCCTCCAAGGGCATTGCATGCACAGGTGCACTTGCAAACACGCAAGCAAAACATTCATATGCAAAAAGTAAAAGTAGGTAAGTAAATAAATAAATGAGTAGAAATGCCAGGTATTGTTGCACACATCTTTAATTACATCACTTGGGAGGTGGAGGCAGGTAGATCTCTGTTGAGATCAAGGACAGCCTGGCCTACATAGTGAGTTCCAAGCCAGTTGGGGCTACTGAGAGATCCTCAAAAACACCCTCCCCAAAATTAAATTTAAAAATTAAAAAAATAAGAGTAGAATTCTAGCTTCT